CTGGGGTAGTGGAGCCCCCCAGACTGGGTTTGTCCCAGTGGAAGCAGATGGCGAGCTCGCCAGCTGCGGCCAACTGCCAAGATGCTCGGGAGCTGCCAGCCTCTTGACACGGTGACAGGCTGGGTCCTGGAAGATTCCCTTGTGTGGTGACACTGCCCGACACTGCATCAGGGAGAGGGAGAGGAGGAGAGACTGGGAAGTCCCGCCTTCGCCCAGAAGTGACATTTCTTCTGCACGGAGTCTCGGGCTCTGCCTGCGGGGCGGGGCGGGGAGTGGAGGAGGGCGGCTCGGGCACCTGGGGGCAGGGCTTGTCCACGCAGGCGTGAGGGGCTGTGTCCCCATTCAGGACTGGCTGCCCCCCGGGCCTGCCCCGAGGAGGGGCGACTGCGGGCACGCTGAGGGGCTGGCAGGACCGGCCGGGGAGGAGGGGGAGAGGAGGGGTCAGGGCCCCCCACGCTGCCTGCAGAGGCGCCACACACCACCCCGGGCCCCTGCATGCTTTGATTTCTGCACTGAATTTCCCTTCCTGCCCCTTCTCACTAAGAGCCTTGCAGAAGACCCACACAGAGAGAGGAAGGGCCCCCAAGAACGAACCAAGATGGGTTAGGGGCAGTGTTTCACCGTCTTCTCCCTTCTCTTCCTCCCACGTTCTCTACAGTGTGGACAGATGTCTGGGGCCACCAGGACAGTAACAGATGGTGTGTGGCAAGTGTGTGCAGGGTGGGTGTGGTGGACGAGCCCCTGTCCCTGGGGACACAGGACTTGGTGTTGCCAGGACCCCCTGGCCCCTGCTGAGGGTGCCCTTGTCACTGGCTTTTCCCTGTGAGGTCACTCCCTTGGGTTCCCACTTGGTAGCTGAGGAAAGTGGGGCTTGGGTCACTGAAGGGCCTGGCCCAAGGTCACCGGCTCTGTGCCCTCCACCTTGGCATGTCCTCAGCTGAGCCTGCCCCGCGTCACCACAGAGGACACTGTCAGGAGAGCAATGTCAAGTGTAAAATCCCTCAAGCCCCCAGAAGGGGAAAACGAGAGGCCCTGTGCCCCTAGAGCGACCCAGGAAAAGCGATGTGAAAACCCAGGCGGCGGGGGTGGGGGCCCAGGGCTGGGGCCCGGGTGTTGGCGGGTGGAAACAGGATGTGAGCAGAGAGGGGCCGTGAGAAGCAAGGTGGCTCCCAGCAAAGGCAGCCACCTGGCACAGTGTGTTCTGATCACGGAAAAAGAGCCTGGGCTGCGTGGGTGTCGTCACATCCTGCTCCCTGCCAGGCCTCCCCCGCCCACCTGGCTCCTCGGCTGGGGGTGGGGGGCCGGCGGGCAAGGGATGGGGATTCAGTCTTAACAAGGGCTCCTAGGTCCACAGGGAGGCCTGGTATCCAATGGTATAAGCAAAAATGAAGGAAGAACAAGGCAGACAGCTCACTGGTCCACCCAGCTCACGCTGATGAAGGGCCCGCCGGGGCCAGGCCTGAGCAGGAAGCAAGGACAGTGAAACTGCAGGGCCCACGCTGAGTCCAGGGAGGCCCAAGTGTTGGGAGGGCAGAAGTGAGCCTGGGCTCTGTGAGACCCTGGGTTTAGCCTGAGGATCTGGGAAGGCTTCCTGGAAGAGGTGAGACCTAAGAGAAGTCTGGAAGGCGGGTTAAAGGCCTCCCAGGCAGGGTCAGCCAGCACGGGGTGCTGAGGTGTGGTTCAGTGTCACTGGGGGCCTCTTTTTGCCCATCTGGCCAGAGTCCACCTGCTTGGCCTGCTCAGGGCCCTCGGTCTCCTCTCTGGCCTGGTCACTCACTGGCATTAACACCAGCATTCCCTTTCCCCATCAGAGCTGCCCCACTCCCGCATACCCCAGCAAACCTTGGGCCTTCCCCCAGCCCATAGTGCCCCAGCCACCACTCCATGGTGACAGCCGACAGCCTTGGGAGTGTCACCCCTGAGGCTCCTGCTAAGTCATATCAGCTCCTGGTGGCTCAGCGCCTCTCCTTGGTTTATAACCAGCCTTTTGCTCCGAGAGTGTTTCATGCATATTTATGTTCATATAGCATACAGAACTTTCTCTTTTTTTATAGAAATGGTATCATGTTGCATGACCCTTCATTTGCAATTCACGTTTTTCTCATTATCTTGGAGCTTGTTCGTTTTTACTTATTTATTTAATTCTTGGCTGCGTCGGGTTTAGTGGTGGCCCACGGGATCTTCGTTGTGGGTTGTGAGAGTTTTCTGTGCAGCCAGTGGGCACTCTAGTTGTGGCATGATGGCTTAGTTACCCCATGGCATGTGGGATCCTAGTTCCCTCGCCAGGGATTGAACCCGTGTCCCATATATTAGAAGGCAGACTCAATCATTAGACCACCAGGGAAGTCCCTTGAAGCTTCTGTATTACTGTGGTAGATTAGCCTCACTGGTCTTTTAATGCTTAGGAATCACACAAACTGAGTGTCCCACTTCACCCAATACAGATACTTGCTGCACTGGAAATCTTTGTGCAATTCTCTCTTTTCAGAGTGACATCCAGAAGAGGGGCTGGAGTCAAAGGGCATGTGCTTCCCATATTTGGATAGGTTCTGCCTTATCACCCTCTAAAATACCAAGCTGTGCTCCCACCAGGAAGGCCCAAGGTCACTCACCTACCCGCCCCGCTCCCAGCACTGAATGTTTGCCAGCCTGGTGGGAGAATAATGCCTTCACATCCTTTCTGTGGGGACAGCATGCTTCTCATGCGTCCTGGGCATTTGCATTTCTTCGCCCCTGAATTATTTTATTTTTTTTAATTTTTGAAAATTTTATTAAATCTTAGTTTCGGCACACGGAATCTTTGATCTCTGTTAGTTTTGGTTCCCTGACCCAGGATCCGACCTGGGCCCCCTGCGTGGGGAGTGCAGTGTCTTAGCCACTGGGCCGCTAGTGAAGTCCCTTTGGTCTGTGAATCCCATGTTGGGGTTCTTTGGCTTTTCTTACCCATTTGTGGAGAGTCTCACACGAAGATGTGTGCCTCGCCTTCCCCACACTCCCTTTTCTCCTTCCCTGTTTTATTTTTTTCCATGACTGCCATCTGACATACTATATGTCTGTTTCTTCATGCCTGTCCATCCTCACCCCATTAGAATGTCAGAACCAGGAGGGCAGGGATTTTGTCATTTTTCATGCCAATGTTTCCAGTATTCAGAACCGTGCCTGGCACATAGTATGAGTGCCTAATTAGTCTATGAATGAATAAATGATAATCTTTTGTCTGTAATTTGTTTTTCAAATACTTTCTCCATGTCTGTCACTTGATCTTTACCTTCATTTATGGTAAATTTAATTGTACAGAAAATTTTAGTTAATATGAGGTCAAATCTTTTGCTTTTTCACACATGGCTTTTGTGTTCTGAATTTTGCTTCAGGCTGTTTTTACCCCAAGTTATAAAAACATTCTGGTATATAGTTTCCATAAGGCTTGTATTTTTGGGTCTTATTTAAATGGTTTATTTCCCATGAAGTGTATTTTTGTGACTGATTGGAGATATAGGTCAAAATTTTTTTAATGAACAATATATTCTTGCTGAATGTTAAAAAGGCTAATCTTCCCTCTGTTGGTTTGAAATGTCTTTATCATTACTGGGTCTTTGAATTTCTAATTGATTCCTTTTGTATATTACCATGCCAGAACAACTCTTTAAAAATCATTAGACTTTTTTAGTTTATTTTTCTATTAAGTGAGACAGGTCTCCAGCTGCTGTTCTTTTCTTTTTTTTTCCTTTTTTGGTCATACCATGTGACATGTGGGACCCTAGTTCCCCTGCCAGGGATTGAACCCAGGCCCCGTGCACTGGGAGCTTGGAGTCTTAACCATGGATGGGACCATCAGAGAAGTCCTCCCCTCTCTGTTTTTAATTTTCTTTCTTCACTATTTTTGTACATTTTCTCTTTCAGATGAATGTGAAAACCAGCTTGTCAGGCCCCATGAAAACATCTTGTGATTTTGATTGTGTTGTGATCATTCACAGATCAAGTCAGGTAGGATCGAATATTTTTATGTCAGATATTCCTATTACAGGGCATGATATAATTAGCTTTATCACTTCCTTCATCTAAATTTTATAGCTGTCTTCATATAGGTCTTACACATTCCTGTTAGACTCAGTTCCAGGTATCCTACAGTTTTTTGTTACTATTTCGAATGGCCAAATTCTATTACAATTTCTCGTTGGTTTGTCTGGTGTGTAGAAAAGCAATTGTTGTATGCTGATCGTGTATCTGGTTACCTTGTTGATTTCTCTTTTTGGTCCCAGTGTTTGTGAGATGATTCTCTTAGGTTTTTCTGACAAGCTGTCATATTTTCTGCAAATAATGATGATTTATTCTCTTCTCTGGGCTTCCCAGGTGGCTCAGTGGTAAGTAATCTGCCTACCAATGCAGGAGACACAGGAGATGCAGGTTGGATCTCTGGGTCGGGAAGATCCCCTGGAGGAGAAGGAAATGGCAACCCATTCCAGTATTCTTGCCTGAAAAGTCCCAGAGACAGAGGAGCCTGGCTGGCCACAGCCCATGGGGTCACAAAGAGTCGGACACGACTGAGAGAGTGAGCAAGCACACATGCATTCTCTTCTATCTCTCTTTCTTTTTTGCTTTTTTTTTTTTTTGCTGCATAGCATGCACAAGCTTAGTTCCCTGACCAGGGATCGAACCCATGCCCCTTGCCCTGGAAGCAGAGTCTTAACCACTGGACCACCAGGGAAGTCCCCTACATCTCTTTCTTGCTCCACTGAAACATGGGTACCCCCAAAACGTGGCACCTTGTCCATCCCTGTGGGTTCCCTTATCCTGCTCCTCCTTCACGGAGATGATCCCAAGTTTCACTGATCCCTGTGAGGTTTGCTGGAGTTAAGAAGACGTCTGTTTTTCTGTTTGTATTGTTCTAAGAATTTCCTGTTCTTTAGGATGAATGTTAGATGGTATCAGTCGTAAACATCTAATCTATTTATTTGTTTTTGACTGTGCTGGGTCCCCGTTGCTGCGTGGGCTTTCCTCGCATGGTGGTGGCACCTCCCGATGTGGAGCACGGCTCCAGGGCGCAGGGCTTCAGTGGCTGCGGCCCCCCGGCCCTGGAGCACGGGCTCCGCAGCGGCCGCGCACAGGCCAGTCTCTCTGTGTCAGGTAAGGTCCTCCCAGACCAGGGGTCAAACCCGTGTCTCTTGCCTTGACAGGCAGACTCTTTATCACTGAGCCACCAGGGAAGGCCGGTATCAGGTTTTTGACAAGTCTGCTGGGTGTGGTGTAGACTGGGGTGTTAGCTGAGCCCATGTCTGCGCAGGATGAACAAAGCCTTCCTGGCGGTTAGGTGTGTCCAGGTGGCCACCTCCGGCCATTGGGTGTAGGCAGAAGTGACTGCAGCTTTCCTGAAGAGAAGGGAGCCTGAGCAGAGGGAGCCCACTCTCCCACACTCGGGAGCCTGCTGTTCCTTCATTATTTACATCATTACACAGCGACAGCCCTGCATAGTTTCCAAATCACTTTCTCGGACGGTGGCTCATTCAATTCCCACAGCAGCCAGACGAGAGCCCTACCCCAGGAGGCGCTGAGACTGGGGTGACGTGATTCACTGCGTCTGCTCATCGGCGCGCCCGCAAGGGGCTGCCCCGCAACGCTCTCTGGGAAGGGGAAGACACCCGTCCCATTGTTGCTGTAATAGCAGTTTCTGTTTCATCTGTTGGCTGGGGCTGTGGGGCTTCTTCCCTAACCCTAACCATAACCATAACCCCTAACCCCTAACCCCTAACCCTAACGCTAACCCTAACCCTCTAACCCTAACCCTAACCCTAACCCTAACCAACCCTGGCTTTCCAGGTGGCTCACTGGTAAAGAAACTGCCTGTCAATGCAGGAGATGTGAGTTCGGTCTCTGAGTTGGGAACATCCCCTGGAGAAGGAAATGGCAGCCACTCCAGTATTCTTTCCTGGCGAATCCCATGGACAGAGGAGCCTGGTAGGCTACAGTCCATGGTGTTGCAAAGAGTTGGACAGGACTTCGCGACTAAACAACAACCCTAACCCTAACGGGATCTGTCACTCCTGTTGGACGCAGTGTGGGGAAGCAGGCCTGGCCCATGAAAGGTGAGGGTGTGGGGTGAGCCCCGGCTGGCCTCGCCTCAGGGCTTTAGGGCAGCTGAACCCCACCTTGCCCTGTGCCCCTAGGCCCACGTGGCCACTGCTCTGGGTGCTCCAGGGCCCACTGCCTGCAGGGCTGCTTCTTCGCTCCCTGGAGCTCTGGAGGATGGGGCGGTGGGAGGTGGGATTTCGCTGAAGATGAGCCTGGCAGCTCTCCGTCACCTGCCCCTTGCCCCGCGGGACCCCAGCTGGGTCAGGGGTGGGGGGCCTTGTGGGAGGCCCATGGGGCTCGGGTTGGCCCGGGGGCAGGCTGGGAGCAAGTGCTGCTCTGGACGGCCTGAACAAAGCCATCCCCTCTGCCAGCCCCTAGCTGTGCACTTGGCCTTGTACGACTTACTTCCCCTCTCTGGGCCTCTGTTTCCTCATGTGGTGAAAATCCCTGGGCTGAGGCCTGGACGAGGGAACGCAGGGAGAGGCAGGCATGACTGTACACTTGGTGAGTTCCCGCCAACTCAGCCGGGCGGGCGTCTTTCCCTGCCCAGTGACCGCTACTGGGCAGCCCCTCTGGGAGGGCAGGCTGGTGAGTCAGGTCACCCCGCCTCCCTGACCCTGGTCGCATGCCCGGCAGGGGCAGAGCGAGCAGACGGGTGGCAGCAGTTGAGGGGGTGGAGACTCCCCTGGGCGGCACCTGGGGGCTCCATGGACCTTGGTGCTCCCGAGGGGGAGTCAGCGCTCCGCTAGGGCTCCCGGGGAGGCTTCCTGGAGGCAGAGGTGAGGTGGGCTCCTCTCTGAGCCAAGGTGGAGGGGGCTCCCCTGGAAGAGGGAATCTAGCCCCCTATTTGTAACCACACATAAGGGGAGTGGCTGCTGACTTCAACCAAGATCAGAAGCCAGGGGCCATGGAGGCAGACAGCCCAGCAGGCCTGCCGCGCATCCCCGGGGAGCCTCTCCTGCAGGTGGTGCGTGGGGGGGTCTGGGCCCAGACACACCTTGGCTGTTGGACGGCAAGACCAGTGCAGAGAGCAGAGGGACCTCATGGGGAAAGAAAGGGCTGTCTTTCCAGCTCAACCTTGAGCAGGCTAGGGAAAATCTCTGAGCCTCAGTTTTTTTATCTGCAAAACAGGAAGAATGAGTAATTCCTATCTCTTAAAGTGATGTAAAACCGATGAAGATGTGACGGGATATATCTAGCCCACGGGAGGTCCCAAAAAGTGTGAGTTTGGAAATTCTGCCAAGTGTTTTTTCATTTGCTTTTTGTTTTGGCTGTACCGTGTAGCATGCGGGATTAGTTCCCCGACCAGGAATCTAACCTAGGCTTCCTGCTGTGGAAGCGCAAATCCTAACACAGGGAATTTTCCACCAAGTGGTTCTTGCTTTCAGCCAGAATGAGGCAACGCCTACCTGCCTGGGGCTGCTGAGGCAGAGCCAAGGAAGCTCTTAGGGTCTCAAGTGGGGCCACAGGAGGAGGGCCCTGGCCTCATCCAGCGCTGCTCAAGCTTCCAGGACCTGGGGAGCGTGGGGCAGCTTCTGGGTGGTGCCCGACTAGGCCCATCGGCAAAGTGGCCGTTCTGGTCTGGAGTCCGAGGCCTGGGCAGAGGTGCCTGATGAGTGAAGAAGGTGCTGTGTGTGTTCAGTCGCTTCAGTCGTGTCCTACTCTTAGCGACCCCCTGGCCTGTAGCCCTCCAGGTTCCTCTGTCCATGGGACTTCCCAGGCAAGAATCCTGGAGTGGGTTGCCATGCCCTCTCCTTCAGGGGATCTTCCCAACCCAGGGATGGAGTCTGGTCTCCTGTGTCTCGTGGCATCGCCTCTGCCCTGCTGCAGTTCCCCCCATGGGGCCCAGGCAAAGGCAGCACACCCTCCCCGCCCTCACGTGTCCCCAGGGCCCCTCCCTTGCCCTCAGCACCCAGACCAGCCGTGATGAGGCTCCAACTCCCTGGGATCCTGGCCTAATGACTGTTGTCTTTGGAGCTGCACCTTGGGGCCCGTGGCCTTGTCCTGGCCTCCTGCCTGCCTTCCCCACTGCTGGGGATCTTGTAGCTTCAGCCAGCCAGCCCTGCATGTGCCTGGCCCTTGTCTGCTCAGGGAGACTGGGCCAGGGTCGCTGCTGCCGCCACCTGGCCCAGCCTCCAGGGGCCTTTCCTGTCTCAGACTAAACCGGCATCACTGATTCAATGGACATGAGTTTGAGCAAACTCCGGGAGATAGTGAAGGACAGAGAAGCCTGACATGCTGCAGTCCATGGGTTCACAAAGAGTCGGACACGGCTGAGTGACTGAACAACAACAAAACTGGAGGCCTGCCCCTGTCCCTGGGGAAACTGAGGCCAACACTCCTCACCCCGGCCTGGCTGTGTGTGAGTCAGGCTGGCAACAGCTACAATCCAGAAAGGAGCAGGGGCAGCAGGGAGAACCTTTCCTGGTCGGGATGCTCGAGATGGGCCTGGTGAGGATGTGGCCTGGCCCTTGGGACAGTTCTGGCCCAGCCGCCCTCTCCCTGGAGTAGGGGTTCCTAACTTGGGGCAGTGGGTGGGCTCCAAGGGATTGGTTGGTAGGAATGACGGCAGAGCCCAGCTCCCAGCGAAGCGTCCCGGGGGCACCTAGCACAGTGCCTGACAGGCAGGAGAGCCCCTACCTCCATATTTGCAAAATCATCGTGTTGGACCATCTTGTTTAACCTCAGAGTGTGTGTGCATACTCAGTTGCTCGGTCATGTCTGACTCTTGGCCACCCCATGGATTGTAGCCTGCCAGTCTCCTCTGCCCACAGAATTTTTCAGGTAAGAATGGGTTGCCATTTCCTGCTCCTGGGGATCTTCCTAATGCAGGGCTCCAGCCTGTGTCTCCTGCATTGGCAGGTGGGCTCTTCACCACTGAGCTACCTGGGAGGCCCAACCTCAAGGTGCTGCTGCTGCTGAGTCGCGTCAGTCGTGTCCGACTCTGTGCGACCCCACAGACGGCAGCCCACCAGGCTCCCTGTCCCTGGGATTCTCCAGGCGAGAACACTGGGGTGGGGTGCCATTTCCTTCTCCAAACCTCAAGGTGACCTCCTTCTAAAGAGCAGCACTGATGATGGGGACCACCTTGCACCTTGTGTGTGTGTGTGTGTGTGGGGGGGGGGACATGTGTGCATGTACACGCGGCATGTGTGCACGTTTGTGTGGCATGTATGTGACATGTGCATGTATGTGTGACATGTGTATGTATGTGGCATGTGTGCATGCATGTGTGGCATGTGTGTGTACATGTGGCATGTGTATGGCATGTTTGTGTGTGTGGTGTGTGCATGTATGTGTGAATGTGTATGTATGTGGCACATGTGCATGCATGTGTGGTATGTGTGTATGTACATGTGGTATGTGTACGGCATGTTTATGTATGTATGTGGTGTGTGATGTGTATGTGTGGCATGTGTGGCGTGTGTGCACGTGTGTGGCATGTGTGCATGTGTGTGGCATGTGTGCATGTATGTGTGACGTGTGTGGCGTGTGTGTGTGTGTGTGTGTGGCTCCAGAGGGCAGAGGTCACACCCTGAGGAATGGCTCCTCTCCAACACCTCACCAGTTGGACAGCCAACATTTTTCCGTGGCAGCGCAGACGGTGGGGTGGCAGTGCCGGGAGAGGACTGTCAGATCTGAGCTGCCCCAGTGAGAACTGACCCTGAGGACTTGTGTCCAGACTGGACAGCATTCCGTGTTATACAGAGTGGGGTGCTGGTTGTGCAGAGGTGAGGCTGGGGGTGCAGTCAGGTGAGACAGTGCAGGGGGCCCTGGAGCCAGGGCAGGGCTGCAGGTCTGTGGACTGGCCCCAGGGGCCACTGGAGTGGGGTGGCTCATGGAAGGTTTTCTGTCCTGAGCTGGGGAGGCCACATCCCCAGGGCATGTGTAAGTGTCCATGGTGATGGGCAGGGGCTTGGCTTTGAACATGTGTGATGGTGTGTGACACCATGTGTGTGAGGACAGGGTGTGAGTGTGTGTCTCTGTGCATGGGTGTGCACCTGTGGATGTCCAGGGCAAGTCGCTGAGTCTCAATGGCTTCAGTTTTTTCAGGAGCT